GCCCAGTGTCTTCACACATTAATCCAGCCCACACCATTCACATTGACCTTCCATGCCACTCCAAATCATTGGCTTGCTAGCCAGGGCCCCTTCAGTGGGGTCCTTCATTTATGCTTCTCATCTTACCATTTGCCCATGTGTCCCACCCCCTAATGGCTCAGCTGGTAAAGAATCCGCCTGCAATGCGGGAGACCTGGTTTCCATCCCTGGGTTGGGAAGATCCCCTAGAGAAGGGAACCCACTCCAGTACTCTGGCCTGGAGAATTCCATGCGCTCACTCCCACCCCTGGGATTAAACAGATCAAAGTACTGCTCTTACCGTGCCTCCTGCTGGCTGTCCGCTGCCTTGCAGATTTCTTCAATCCTGAGTCACACATTTTTAAAAAAAAAAGAAAAAATCTTCAACATTTCTGAAATTAGGAAGCACCTTATATTCAAGATCATACAAAACTGTCAGCCTCAGAATTAAGGCAGAAGTGATGATAGGCTCCTTGCTGCCTGTGACTAAGAATTTTGCAATGTGTAAAAGGGATCGGTTCATCTAATTGTCATTAGAGCTGTATATTAATTTTGGATACGTAATTTTTACTTAAAATGAGGCAGCATATGCTATAAACTGCTCTGGATGCTTGAGGCAAAAGAGGGGAAGATCTCTGCCCTGGTGGAGCATATGTCATGAAGAACTGTTGCCAGGTTCTGAAGACTCTATCTGTCACAGGATCTGGTGGACTTTTAAGAGAAGATCTTTAACTTCTAGTGACAAATAACTCAATTAGGGGAAAAAGTGAAACTATGGTTCCACCAAATAAGTCATGAAAGCACAATCTGTTACACTTTGTGTGACAGAAAATCATTTGAAGACAGGAACCTGTGTTTTGTTACCCTTGTCCTTTCCTCTTTCTTCCCCTCCCACCCCTTATCAGTTCAAGCAGAGAGTTAGTCCCCTTCTCATTTGCTCAGAGGGAGAATATGGCAGGGAAGAAAGCAAATATGGCCTAAAAGAGAGGGAATCTTGGCTCTACTTCCTGGTGGTACTAGGAAAAAAAGGTAAAGTGAAAAAGTGAAACTGTTGGTCACTCAGTCGTATTCAACTCTCTGTGTCAGCATGGACTGTAGCCTGCCAGGCTCCTCTGTCCATGGAATTCTCCAGGCAAGAATACTGGAGTGGGTAGCCATTCCCTTCTCTAAAGGATCTTCCTGACCCAGGGACTGAACCTGAGTAAGGGAGAGGCAAAATTCCAGAAAGAAAGTGACACTCAAGGTACATCTAAAGGCATGATGGCAGTCTTGCAGGCTAAAGCATGTGTCCCAAGTAGAGTTTGAAGGGGTTAGAAGGGAGAGTGGTACCAAATATCTCCATCCAGTGGCTGAATGTTGAGTAAATCCCACAGAGCCACAAAGAAATTCCAGAAGAGGAGAGAAGAACTCAAGAAATAACCATGCTAAGTTTTTCCAGTAATCCAGAATGGAAAGCTCAAAGTAGAAATCAGGTTGAATTATAAAATGTAAAGTTGTATGTCTTCACATATGAACATGTAGACTGAAAATCTTACCTGCTATACTTGCCATGTCACTGAATTAAATGTACCAAAGAGACCGAGAATCAGGTGAACATTATGAAAAGCAGTGAGTCCATGGAAACAGCAACTCAGGAAAATGTTCAGACTCCAAATGTGAAAAACACTTTCAAAATTTGGTCAGGATTCAAAAAAGGGAAGTAGCAGATACTTAAAGTTATAAAGAGAATCTCGATCATTTTTCAAGTCCAAAGCCTTAACGACTCGGCCATCGCTGCTCTATCATTTTTAAATGGATACTTGATATCATGTTTCTTATATTTTTCCTCTAAAAAGCTGCTACTTCAATTGATAGTGGATATTACAATTCATGGCATTTTTGAAGTGAGGAAAAAAATCTGTTTTTCATCATTCTGAGGAATTTCTGCTGTCAAAATCCTACCCATCAGCAACCAAAGTGTCAAAAACAAGGGATTTGTTAAATAATTGTGCTATACCTATATAGTGGAATAGAGTATTTATAAATGGTCTCATAGAAGAATACTTAATGAATGAGAAGATGTTAAAGTTAACTAAATTTTTAAAAACCTCTGTGTGTGTGTGTGTGTGTGTGTGTGTGTGTGTGTGTGATATCTATAGGTCTGCTTCCAAAGTGTCTCTCAAGACCTCCAACCTTTAATGTTATCTTTTAGTCTAATAGCCAAATGGCGCACCTGAAATGTCATCTCATATACCTCATATGGGAGGTCTACCAGTACTAGGGTGATCAATCATTTGAGTTTTCCCAAGATTAAGGGGTTACCTGAGATTTCAAAACTAACATCAGGACAGCCCTGGGCACACTGGAACAGCTAGTAACTCTAATCAGTGGCTGATATCAGGAGCTGAATCAAGTCCCTGGTGTAGCAAGCTGCTGCTGTACTATCCATGACCAGCTTTCCTGAGCTCTTCGTCCCCCGGCTGCTGATACCATCTGCAGGACCTAAACTAAAGCCTTGAGGTAACAGTAAGTACAATATGAATGTGCGCTCAGTTGCTCATGTCTTTGCGACCCCATGGGCTGTAGCCCTCCAGGCTCCTCTGTCCATGGGATTATCAAAGCAAGAATACTGGAGCGGGTAGCCATTCTCTTCTCCAGAGGATCTTCCTCACCCAGGGTTCAAACCCATGTTTCCTGCATTGCGGGTGAATTCTTTACCACGGAGCCACCAGAGAAACCTGGTGTAATATATGTTTTGTTAAATCACATTGAATCTAGAACATCATTTCTAGCACTTTCTCCAGGGATCTGTACTTAGCCCTGTACCATTTTTTGGTATTTCTGTACCTTTTATAAATGCAAAAGACCCTGTTAAGAAGATGAAAGACAAGTTACCACCTGCTGCTAAGTCACTTCAGTCGTGTCCGACTCTGTGTGACCCCATCCCTGGGATTCTCCAGGCAAGAACACTGGAGTGGGTTGCCATTTCCTTCTCCAATGCATAAAAGTGAAAAGTGAAAGTGAAGTCGCTCAGTCATGTCCGACTCTTCGCGACCCCATGGACTGCAGCCTACCAGGCTCCTCCATCCATGGGATTTTCCAGGCAAGAGTACTGGAGTGGCATGCCATTGCCTTCTCCGAAGTTACCACCTGGGACAAAATATTTGCTAGCCACCTAACCAACACAGAACTAGTGTCTAGAATATATAAAGAATTCTCACAACTTCATAACAACAACAACAAAAAAAAATGACATTTCATTGAGGAGGCTATACAGTTAGCTAATGAGCACATGCTTAACCATCAGAGAACTGCCCTTAGCCTGCTCTTCCTACCAATCTTTAGCAAAACTCCCCAGTTCTTCAGAGGCCATCCCCAGCCTCTTCTTGACTCCCTTTCCCCTCTCTCAACCCAAGCCTGCCTTAATTAGCACGACCCATCTACCTCATGCTCTGGACCCTATCTTGGTGTCAGGAGGAAGGCCATCCTGGGGCATCCAGTCCCACCAAGTCAGCCTGGCCACTAAGAAGGGAGTGAAAGTCACTCAATTATGTCCGACTCTTTGTGACCCCATGACTATACAGTCCATGGAATTCTCCAGGCCAGGATACTGGAGTGGGTTGATATACTCTTTGCAAAGGAATCTTCCCAACCCAGGGATAGAACCTAGGTCTCCTGCACTGCAGGCAGATTCTTTACCCTCTGAGCCAACAGGGAAGCCCAAGAATACTGGAGTAGGTAGCCTATCCCTTCTCCAGTGGATCTTCCCTACCCAGGAATTGAACCAGGGTCTCCTATATTGCAGGCAGATTCTTTACCAACTGAGCTAAAGGAAGAGGGATTTTCAGGTAAGTGGGGAGAAGGGTAAACACAACTGGGTGCGGGTACAAGGATCTTTCTGGTGCTTTCCCCATCACACCAGAGGCCATCGGGTCCTTTCCCCTCCTTTCTTCTCAGATAGGCAAGAGGAGCTGAAGCATAAACTCTATTGAGTTTTTCTGTTTCCTAAGCCAGGGGTCCCCAACCCTTAGCCATTGACCAGAACTAGTCCATGGCCTGTTTGGACCTGGGCCACACAGCAGGAGGTGAGCAGCGGGTGAGCGAGCAAAGCTTCACCCGTACTTACAGCTACTCCCCATCACTCTTGTCACCACCTAAGCTCGGAAAACAAGCTCAGGGCTCCCATTACAGTGAGCTGTATAATTATTTCATTATATAGCACAATGTAATACTAATAGAAATAAACTGTTCAATAAATGTGATGTGCTTGAATCATCCCCAAACCATCCTCCCACCCCCGTTATCCACGGGAAATTTGTCTTCCACGAAACAGTCCCTGGTGCCAAAAAGGTCGGGGACCACTGCCCTAAGTGGTAAAAAGGCTTCACATTTCAAATCAAAATGTGCTGCTTAATGGCTGGTGAACTGACTTCTAGTTCTTTCACAGCCAAATACGGCTGGTGAAGGGGCAGGCCGAATTATCCACGGCAGGGGGCCGGGGAGGGGTTGGGGTGTGTGTGTGTGTGTGTGTGTGTGTGTATGTGTGTATGTGTGTGATCCATAGGGACAGATACACCCAGAATTAAAACAGTGGAGGGTGGAGGCTTTCAGGATCCTTTAAAACTCCCAGGTGGAAACCAGGTCGGACATACATCCTGCCTGGACCTTTCCTGCACAGCCAGGATATCCTGTGTTTGTCAAAAGGACGGCATAGGGAGGCCCTGGCCATTGTCCATCCCGAAATCTGCCCTTCAGCCCCTCCCCAGCCTGTAGCAGCCGCCCCGGGGCAGAGGAAGAGTAACTCTGGAAACGGTTTTATCAGCATCCTCCACGGACTTCCTCACCTCCTCCCCAACCTCATTAGCCCCAAGGTCCTTAGCATCCTCCAGCAGAAACCTGTGAAGCTGGGATAGGGTCAGCGCCCTAAAGCCAGCCCCTTATCTTTTGCCAAGACCTGCCTCTGCGCAGCCCTAAGTGGGTGCAGCTGGAATCCTGAGCCTGCGATGGAGCCCCGGCTGGGGCCCAAAGCTGCCGCCCTCCACCTGGGCTGGCCGTTCTTGCTGCTGTGGGTCTCCGGCCTGAGCTGCTCTGTCTCCTCCTCAGCTTCTCCCTCTCCTTCTCCGGTGTCCCGAGTCCGAACGAGCTACAATTTGGGAAGGACTTTCCTCGGTCTTGATAAATGTAACGCCTGCATCGGGACATCTATTTGCAAGAAGTTCTTTAAAGAAGAAATAAGGTCAGAATCTCAGTTGCATAACTCTGAGGGGCAAAACGTTCCCTTCATGTGATGAGGTCCAGGAATTTCTTGAAAACAAGCCAGGGTGTAGTTTTGGGTGTGAGCTGAAGCAAAACTATTTAATTATAGTGGTAATGGGTTAAGGTTGGGATGGAGAGGAGGGAAGGTGTGAAGCCTAATTCCAGCTCTAAATGCTAAATCCAACATTTCCTTTGGAAGTAGGAGCGTAAAGTTTTAAAGTTTTCTTTTCTATGAATGAAGTAGCCCAGGACTATTGAGCTTACCAAGTTCATTTCTCATAGTAGCAGGGAAATAAAATTTATCGAAAGCTTACTATGTGACGAACGTTTTTACGCTACTGTTATTTTCGCCTCACAACAATCCTGGGAGTTAGTGATTCACACCCATGATTCAGATAGTGAACGGAAACCTAGCAAGGTTCAGTGACTGGCTCAAGGTCACCACCTAATAAGTGGCATATCTGGGACTCAAACCAAGGCAGTTTGCTCCAAAGTTTGTGAATGAGTTTTCTGTTGTGAGCTGTTACCTTGATGAGAGGAAAAGCTAAGTTTAATAAATCTCATGCACATGGCTCTCCCCAGAGAATGGTACCACGCTCTGGAATTCAACCCTGTCAACTCGTGTTCAATGAACCTTTACTACGGCCAAGGCCCAGGATGGGCTATAATGACATTGCTATAACTCTGGTCCTTGCCCTCCAGGGGTTCAGGAGTTAGGGAACAGTGTTATAAAAGAAATAAGGCCTGGTCTGACGCAGGCCAGAAGTGAAGTGTAAAGGACCTTGGGGAACTCCAGGGAGAGAATGTTAATTCCAAAAGGGCTTCTGAGCACAGCCATGAAGGATGATGAGCTGAAATTAAGTGGGAGGAGAGCAGCTTAAGGTAGAAGGATCAGCTTAAGCAAAGGCCCAGAGGTGTGCCTTTGTGGCTGGAGCATGGGGCCCATGTGGAGGCATGGCACAAGGAGGAGGTTGCAAGGGGAAGGGGGCCTTGAATGCCATACCAAGGAATTGGGACCCTAACCTGTGAGCCAGTGGTCTCCAGGCTTTTCAATATCAAAGACCCTTTGTAATAGACCTCTTCTCTTATGCCCTGCCCCAAGGCTCTGCCCCTGGCTTAGAAGATTTGGTGACCAGGCAGAAGGCATTAACTGACAATAATTTTATTTTCAATCTATATTAACCAAAACTTGAGTATTCCACTAAGTTACTAAACAGAAATAACAAACAGAAAATACCAATAAAAATGGTGAACTTCTTTTGTGAGATGGTAGATATCACAGGGAGTTGAAATGAACTTTTCCTAGTAGACTGTTTTTTTAAAAATTTTATTGGAGTGTAGCTGATTTACAATGTTATGTTAGTTTCAGGTATATAGAAAAGTGAATCAGTTATCTATACACATATATTCATTCTTTTTTAGATTCTTTTCCCATATAGGTTATTACAGAATACTGAGTAGAGTTCCTTGTGCTACACAGCAGATCCTTATTAGTGATCTATTTTATATATGGTAGTGCATATATATGGGTTTCCCAGGTGGCTCAGTAGTAAAGAAAATGCCTGCCAAGCAGGAGACACAGGAGACGCATGTTCGATCCCTGCATTGGAAAGATTCACTGGAGGAGGAAATGGCAACCCACTCCAGTATTCTTGCTTGGAAAAATCCTACGGACAGAGGAGCCTGGCGGGCTATAGTCCATAGGATTGCAAAGAGTCAGACATGAATGAGCGCACACACACACACGTGTGTGTGTGTATATATTCTATTATCATTTTTAAGGCATTTTTAATGTTGAAAAATTGAAAGACTTCTACTTACAGGAGTTATGTAGCAGGCAATGGTGAGGGTGTTACATAGGGTGGGGACAAGATGAGGCCAGTGTTTTGCAAAAATCTTCTGGAAAGCAGTGTGTAGAATGGCCAGGTAATGCAGACCAGTTCTTCTCGTCCAACAGAAAGATCATTGAGAACAAAGGTGGGCAGGAAGGATGCAAGTCAATTTAGCTGGAGACTTATTTTGTTGATCAACCCAGTGTGAGAGGAAAAAAAGATGGAGATGTGGAAAATGAACTCAAGAATTCCCACCTAAGAAATGGGATGAATAAAACCAGTAACACAGGGGAAGTGGGTGGGACTGATTCCTTAGAGAAAGAAGGCAGTGAAAATACGGACATATTTTAAGATAGGAGGGAGGGAAATTAAGGGGTTCACCCGAGGAAGAGCTCCAGATTCACCTTCTCCTCCAGATAAGTAAACAAGAATATATGAATCTTACAGTCGACTCTTCACCAAGTGGAAAGAAATGAGGCTTTTCTCATCAGGCAAGTAATGGCCAAATTCAGGAAGCATTTCCCCAAATAGGTTTGTGTTCCAGTTAGAGTTCAGGATATTACTTCAGCTCCCTCAGAATTCATTTTCCACATGTGCCTGCCTGAAAGGGAAATGTGCAGATCCAAGCAGGAAATCACCAGGCAGAGCAGGTTGGGGTCTGGAACACTTCATGTTGAGAAGTCACATTCTCAATGCAAGGAAACTGAGGCCAGTGAATGGGTCTGGAAATGTAGACTTGTTTATAGTCCTTTTCTCTACATTGTAAATAGTTATTTCCTTATTTTAAAAGTGATATCTCTTTATTTTAGAATCTTCAGGAAATATCGATTAAAGAAAACACAAAATAAAGATCTCAGACAATTCCTCACCAAGGATCACTGCTTCATTAACATTCTGGTGTATGACCCTTACTACCTTTTTGCTAAGTGTGGATTAAAATTTTTTCAACAAAAATGTGAGCATATGATGCACTCTTTTGGAAACTTTTATTTAACAATATATCGGGAAGATTTTTCTACATTAACTATTCCCCACAATTTTATTTTTAGTGGTTTCATGGTGTTTGATTGCATCAGTCAATCCTAATTTATTTAACTAAATCACTGTGGTGGGACAACTAGGGTTTTTTGCACTTTATGTTATTAAAAACAGTGCTATGTTGAACCTCCTTGTGGTTAGACTTTTATGCATATCAATAATTAATTCCTATAACAAATTCTAAAAGGTAAAATTTCTGGGTCAAAAACTATAGTGAATTTTTAGAATTTTGAGACATATGTGGATATATATCCAAATGGAGACTTCTTCCTATAGAGTTTACTTCTTGCACACTCGGAAACGTTTACTATTACTATTATTTTTGCTTTGTATATTCTTCTGAGTTGAGCCCTGGAAACGTTTACTATTACTATTATTTTTGCTTTGTATATTCTTCTGAGTTGAGCCCTTTTTTCAGACTTCTTGGCCTTTTGTATTTCTTCTTTGTTAAATGGTCTGCAAATTCACATCCTTCGCCTCTCTTTCCAAAGGTGTGTTTGCTCATCTTGTTCTTGTTCATCTCCAAACATTTCTCCACTTTGAAAAATGATCATGATGCTACCTTATGAGAAAACCCATCCCAGACTTTAAGATGGTAAGCTGAAATGCTTACCAGACAAGCATTAGCACTCCAGGACCTGTCCCCACTAAGAACTGGACAACGCTTGTTGTTCAGCAACAGAGAGTGAGCTCCTAAGGCTGACTGGGTAGGCTGAAGGCACATGATTGGTGGATGATGTCGCCTTTCCTTCTTTCCCTATCTCTTCCCTATTGATTCCTGGGTCAGGAAGATCCCCTGGAGGAGGGCATGGCTATCTACTCTAGTATTGTTGCCTGGAGAATCCCATGGACAGAGGAGCCTGATGGGCTATAGTCCATGGGGTCACTAAGAGTCAGACACGACTGAAGGGACTTAGCACACAGCTATAACCCCTAATAATGTTACCAGTCTGTTCCCAAGAGCTAATTCATAAAATGGATGATAAAGGACTAAGTAGCAGCAAAGTGGTTCAAAGTATAAGCTCTGGAGCCCTGAAGGCTACTTCCTCCAGTTCCTGGCTGTGTGACTTGAAGTAAAGCACTTAACATTTCTGTGCCTCAGTTTCCTTATCTGCATGATAACAGCAGCGCTGACCTCATAGGTTTGTTGAAAGGTATAACTGAATTATGGCACATAAAGTGTTTAGCAAAGTGATTGCTAAAGTGATTCATAAATGTGCATTGCTATTATTATTATCTAAAAAAGCCACCTGGTTGTAGACCCTTAGTTACAGGCCCTTGGAGAGAAGTGGTTTGAACCCACATGAAAAAGAGCAGCTACAGGAAACAGACAGGCCTGCCTCAGGGCCCTAGGCCCTTCCTTATCCTCCCAGTAGGGAGGATCAATTCCCATGATTGTCCTAAAAATGCCAGTAAAATTGATTCTTTGCAAGTTTTTAGCGTTTGGTCTTTTTAAACAGATTTGTGGCAATGTCCTGGAACAGAGTTCTTTGTGCCTATTTCCATTGAAGTTTGAACAGTCCAGTATCACAGAAGGTATTGACTGACAGTTTCTTAGAGCATCTTCTTAGGAAAGCTTGCAGTCTCTTAGGGTAACTGTGTCATATAAGTGAGAAAAAATTACAATGTAGGATGTGGAGCTAGTTCCTCGAAAACTCATTATCATGAGGTTGCCCAGTAATGTCCAATAATAAGAATTTAAAGATTCTTATTGAAATTAAATTAAAAATGAGGTCCTTCTGTGTAGCACAGAGAACTATACTCAATATCCTGTGATCAACCATACTGGAAAAGAATATGGAAAACAATGTATATATACATGTAACTGAATCACTTTGCTATACAGTAGAAATTAGCACAACACTGTAATTCAACTATACTTCAATAAAATAATTATTTATTTTTTTAAAAAGAAATTTTTAAAAAAGAAATTAAATATATAACATATACACCTAATTTTCATTTGCAGTATATTGCCCTCAATAATAATGAAGATACACAATTTTCTTAGTAACTTTCATACATGAATGAGAAGAAGATTTAGCATTCTTTCCTGATGGAAATGTTGGCACACAGCTAGAGAGATGACTGGAGAAAAGGGTCACTGTGGGGTGGGTGTAGAAAATCAGCAAATGGTAATAGGCCAGTGCCTCTCCCCTAGGGAGCATCTAGCACTGCCCAGGCCATTGTGTGGAATCACACACCTCCTGGATCCCAGATAGCTTTGAGTCTGCTGACCCTTTAACATCCTCTGTTCCCTGACAGTTGGCTGGGACCACAAAGTTAAATCTTTGGACCAAAAGAAAAATTGATGGGGCCGTTTGGGGTGGATATGAGGGGGGTAGTGCTCTCCCCAATGCAGGAGGATAAGCTTCTTCAAGAACTATAGTTTCAGGTTTTCTCTGGTGGTCCAGTGGTTAAGACTCTGCACTCCCAATGCAAGGGGCCAGAGAACCAGATTCCACATGCCGCAACTAGAACAAGGGTAGCGAAGGAGAAAGATCATGGGTTTTGCTGACAGAGAGCCCTGGGTTTGCACCCCTGCTTAACCACATATTATCTAACCTTAGGCAAGGCACTTAAGCTCTGTAAGCCTGCTTCCACATCTGTAAAGTGGTGATCGGACATGAGGAGAAACAAAGGTACCAGCGTGGGTAAAGCTGCTGCCTTCACAGAAAGCCAGTTAAGTGAAGAATGAAGAAGATAAAGTTTGTGTCTGGTATGCAGATGCCTCACCTTTTCTGACATCACATATAAACTTCCTTAAGCCTGAGAAAACAAAAATAGTCCTTTGCCAGAAAGAGCCTGGAGCACCCCAGTCTAAGGAGAAGAAATGGATCTGAGCAGATGTGGGCCCCTATGTCCCTGTCCCCGGGCTCTGCTGGCTCTGGCAGTGTGACTGGTCCCTGTCTAATTCCTTCCCTCTGGCTCCCAGGCTGATCTGAAAATGGCTGATACTTTTTCAGGTTTGACAACGGGCTGGCCTTAAACCTTGGACCACCTCCTGACAACTTGCCTTCTTACTCTGCAAATTACTCAGATGATTTCAAAACCTGGCGCCCTGTGGAGATCTCAAGGCTGGTCAGCAAACAGCAAAACAAGATCTCAGACAGGAGAATCTGTGCCTCCGCAGCTGCCCCCAAGACCTGCAGTATTGAGCGTGTCCTGCGGAAAACAGGGAGGTTCCAGAAATGGCTGCAGGCCAAGCGACTCACACCAGACCTGGTGCGGGTGAGTGTCCAGGCTGTGGGGGGCGGGAGAATGGAGGGTACCATTGCCAGCTCACATCTCAGTCTGTCTGGGCAAAAGGAATCGTAGTTTGTCTAAAGTGGGACAAAACAGTGTCATGAAACAACATGGCTTGTGACAAGACAGGAACTAAAGAGGTTTCCTGATGGCTCAGACAGTAGAGTCTGACTGCAGTGCAGGAGACCCAGAATTGATCCCTGGGTTGGTAAGATCCGCTGGAGAAGGAAATGGTAACCACTCCAGTATTCTTGCCTGGAAAATCCCATGGATAGAGGAGCCTGGCAGACTACAGTCCATAGGGCCACAAAGAGTCGGAAACGACTGAGCAACTTCACAAAGTGGTCTAGTTGTAGGGACTCCTCCCATTGTCATTCTCCATTCTCTCTGATGTGACCCTGAGGAACTCTTTGGGAAACAGTTCCTAGCTGCCATCTCTGGTCTGAACATCTGTCGGGATGACCCTCACCAACCTTGCCCCCTCCCCCAAAAGGGCTTAGCTCGCCTACAATGTTTGCTAACCCCTAAACTGTCACTGTTCTTTTTTCGGAATATTCATAACGATTTTATTTTTAATTGAAGGATAATTGCTTTACAATATTGCATTGGTTTCTGCCATACATCAACATGAATTAGCCACAGGTATACCTATGTCCTCTCCCTCTTGAACCTCCCTCCCACCTCCCATCCTTTCCCACCCCTCTAGGTTGTTACAGAGCCCTGATTTGAGTTCCCTGAGTCGTATAGCAAATTGCCATTGTCTATCTTACATATGGTAGTGTATATGCTTCCATGATACTTCTTTCCATTCACCTTACCTTCTCCTTCCTCCCCCTGCCCATGTTCATAAGTCTGTTCTCTATACTCCATGTGACTGTCTTAGAAGCTTCCATGTATATCCTCTTTCATGATCCAGAGACCCTACTTTGAAAATCAGCTTCCTTTTTCATCTCCCATCATAAAAAAGAACCAAACCTAAGTCACTGCGAAAGCAGACTCCAGTAACGCAGCTCCCTCCTCCCACCTGAAAGTTCTCACCCACTCCCACAAGGAGGCTGCTTTCAGAGTTTTGGCACATTGCCGGTGACATCTTACCCTGTGTTTGTCCCCACCTGCACTGTCATTGCTGATATCATCTGATTTTTATCCAAACCAACATAGTCATGTACCTCCACACACATCCAGCCTGGCCCCTTAGGGCAGAAAATGCCACCTCAAAAGATGAGGAGCCACTCACCTTTAGCAAAGATGAGAAAGAAGACCTCACCTCAATCTTCCTGCCATGATAAGGCTGGAGGATTTGGCATTCCTCAGGGGCATGCCAAGATGGTTTCTCGAAGTCCCCAGACCACTAGCCCCTTCAAATGGGCACATAAGGCTGCCCAGGTAATTTCTGAGCACTAATAGACCTTCCCTTTGGTGTGTTCAAGATGAGTCACCCAGAACAAAGCAGAATCACGTCCCTAGATATCTCAACCACATGGCAAGACCATGTGACTTTGCCTTATGGTTGTGTGGAAACTGCTTAGAAATCAAGAGGAATCAAGCTGCTGGTAATATGGCCATCATCTGACACTGAACTTCACACGTGGTCCTTTTGTACTTTGTACTTTACAAATCTCACTGGCCTGGAATGGGGAGAAAATAAGCCAGAGGATGTCAAGCTATTCCCAGGCTGGGGAGGTAGTGGCAGGACCCAGCCTACGGGTCTTGGAGTTGGTGTGGGAGATAGGAATTGGAGACTCGGGTGGGAAGAACCTTATGGGAGCTGCTCAACACTGGGCAGAAACAGAAAACAGAGAACAGATATCAAAGCCCACACCATGGTACACACCCTAGGTGTAATGGCCTTGTGCCTCTTTCTGCACCTGCAGACACACCCTCTGCCTGCAGACACACCCTCCCTGCACTGGCCTGGGGTACCCACCATCTGTCATTCTCAGGCTGGCCACATGGGAAGGACTAATATGAGACCTCCTGGGCTTTGCCTCAAATATGTGCTCAGGAACAAATAGGAGGCCCCAGGAAGAGTAAAACAAGATACACAAGGAATTGTATCAGACCCCCTTGAAAATCCCATCACTTCTTCCTGTCATTGTTGTCTGCTTCCTTGCTGACAGGCACAGTTCTCTCAAGTCACCGGCCCCAGACTGTCTCCACCTGGGACCTGGACCATGTACCAAAGGACAGAACTTCCTGGTGCATAAGATACATTTGGGATTCCACAGATAGTGACTAAACTGGTCCTGGGCTTTGAACTAAGGAAGACTCCCACTTTCCCTCATTTCTGGAGACTTCATAACGCAGTAGAGATTATCCTAGGGGGCCTAGAAAGTTCAAAGCAACCTGCCAGGTACATCTAGTGTCCCCTACCTTGATGAGTATAGATGCTGTGGTAGAAGCAGAAGATCCCTGGGGACTGGAAACTGTGGTTGAGTCCTGAAAGCAAAAGTATTAGTTGCTCAGTTGGGTCCAACTCTTTGCAACTCCATGGACTGTAGCCCACTAGGCTCCTCTGTCCATGGAATTCTTCAGGTAAGAATACTGGAATGGGTTGCCATTTCCTTCTCTAGGGGATCTTCCCCACCCAGGGGTAAAACCCGCATCTCTTAAATCTCATGCATTGGCAGGTGGGTTCTTCACCATTATCCCCACCTGAGAAGCCCATCCATATTGTGGTCACTGCCACGGGCTGAGAGGAGAAGAGAATTAAGAGTGACTTTAATAGATACACGGTGTCTCTTAGGGTGATGAAAATTTCTGGAGTTAGTGGTGATAGTTGCACAACTAAAAGCCACTGAATTGTTCACCTTAAAATGGTCCAAATGATGAATTTTACATGATATAAATTTTACCTTAATAAAAAAAGGAGGAATAAGCCATTAAAAAAAACTTCACCAGTCCTCTGACTCCATTCCCTTAGAGCCCTGACAGGTGACAGGTGACATTAATAATTTAATTCATGCCAGGATGTTAACAGCTAATAGCATTTCACTGTAGCCCTCCAAGAAACCATTTGTATGTAAAGTCAATATTATGATGCTCCCACTAGCCGATCCCATGACTATCTCAGACCTTCCTAATACCTCCCTGCATTATTTCCCCCACAAAACCCAGATGTGGCCCCGGAATTCTCAATAGTGTTCCATGCAAGCAGCCTCTGTTGTGATTTCAGCTGGACTAAAAGGTGACATCTATGTAACTGCTGATTCATCCCAGACTGGGCCAAATAGCTCTATCCTATTTTTCTGATGATCGGTCATACGTAAAGTCTTGATTTCTAATTTAGAAATTATAGTAGTTCTCTTTTCACATAGGAGTTTCAGGAGTCAAGTGGAGAGAGATTGTAGAATGGATGGTAGGGAGACTTGCCTCATCCTTCAATTCTATATTAAATGGCCCGATGCCAACTCTGCCTATCGGCAAGGCCATTCAGCACATGGCTTCAGTGTGCATTCTCTGAATTCCTCAAGAGCCACTTTCCACCAGGGATCTAGGCCAGCACCCTCAAGTGTGCGTATTTGAGTGTGGATGTGCTGACGTGTGTTTGGAGGAGACGAAAGGAGCCACAAGAAACTGATGGGTTGGCTCAGAAAACTGGCAAGGCAGGGAAGGAAGGAGAAACAAAGAAATGAAAATTGAAGGCAGGAGGGATCTGACTGGTGCAGGGCCCTCAGAATCTGGACTGTTGTCGTTGCTTAGAAAAGTCGACTTGGATGAAAAGATCCAGTGCTCACCATCAGATGCCAAGTGCAATTTTGTATTAATACTAAGGACCCTCTCTTGAGCCATAGGCAATACACTGCAGCTAAGGGCTTCCAAGGAGGCTGGACTGGACCAGGAATCAGCAAAAGGGTGAAACAATGCAATGTGTGTGGGTGTGTGTCTGTGGCACTTATGCTAATAAAACCATGACTTTTCTCCTCCAAAACCTGCATTGTTCTGACGGGAATATCCCACAGCCTAAATTACTAGCCCACAAATAGAGCCATGGCCAAGGACAGCACCCAGAGTTTATCATGATGTGCTTGTTCACAAAACCACAAAGAAGGCTTCCTCTGCTGTTACGCCAAGCACCAAAAAGCAACCACTCACAGCATCACGTGGCTAATCAGAGGAAAACACAGTTCCTCCATCGGGTCCTCCTCCCATCCCCTCAATTGCCATCCACTCTGGACATTGTTCTATAAGCTAACCCTGTTTCTTTTCAGGTGGGAAGTGGAGTTTTTTCTCCCACCAAATGGTGGTATAGAGTGTTCGGGAAGCTTTGTTTAAAGCAAGGTGCCTGGCAATTTTCTTCCCTGGTCTCAATTCCTTTTTTTACATAAATACAATAAGAGATGGGTTTCCCAGGTGGCGCTAGCGGTAAACAATCTGACTGCCAATGTAGGAGATGTAAGAGGCACAGGGGGTTCAGTCAGTAAAGACTCTGCCTGCAATGCAGGAGACCCAAGTTCAATCTCTGGGTTGGGAAGATCCCCTAAAGAAAGAAACGGCAATATTCTTGTCTGGAAAATTCCATGGACAGAGGAGGAGTCTGGTGGGCTAGAGTCCATGGGGTCAACAGAGTTGGACATGACTTAGCAACTAAACCACCATACACATACATTAAGAGAAATAAAGTAACCAAAGTACATATTAACCATTTAATCAGAATATAGTTTTACAGATAACTGCTAAATGAATGATAAAATTTATTTTTGTTTAAGTTTTATTCAAAAATACTGAAGGGGTATGTGCAGGACATATCCTAGACCCTAGGAGGGTATAAGGCTGTCTAGACAAGGCCCCTGCACTCTGAGGGATAACACCCCAGTGGGGGAGATAGCATATGTGATGAAGTCTGATAACTCAGCAGTGTGTGTATGCGTTATTGCTCAGTTGTGTCCGACTCTTTGCAACCCCGTGGACTATAGCCCATCAGCCTCCTCTGTCCATGGAATTCTTCAGGCAGGAATACTGGAGTGGATTGCCATTCCCTTCTC